TCGGACCTTTTCTCCCCGCAGTACTGGTCTACGAGCAGATGCCACTAGAGCACGGCCCTGACGGTAGCAACACAAGCTCAACTGTACGAACCTGCCATGCCCTGCAAAACATGCGCAAACGACTGCCACGGAGCGCCTGAAAGGAAGCTTACTTCCTCACAAGCCCAAGCTCACAAAGGAGTCCCAGTGCACTTACGTCAAAGGGTCCCCCTGCAAGGCAGCAACATGCAAAGGACAAAGAGTATCATCCTGAACCTTTCAGCCAAATGCTGGGCGCGGAAAAGAGGCTACTTCAACCAGCTTTGCAGGTCTGTCTGCACCTTACCATCCCCAAAGCTACCATCATGCAGCCCTTCAGTAGTGCCCGTCATGCCGGTTGTCGACGACCCTTCACCTGCTTCTGCTTCACCATCCATTGCTTCGCCTTCCATCGGTTCAACCACATCCATCTGCGTGTTCTCCAGTACTTGTTGCGATGTCTCTGACCCCCCCTCTTCCAATCCACCACCATTGCCTGCCCCGATGTGCCCGTCATCATTGCCCTCACGATGCTCATTCTCCGCAAGCACCCTCCCCATTTCTTCCTCCGCCCTTGAGATTGGCATTGGGTGCCTCGCTTCCCTCGCATTGTCATCCTCCCCGGTCTCCGCGATAGCCTCTGCTGCCTCGGTGCCGCCCTCGACGGAGTCATCACCACGCCTTCCCGCCACAACTGTCCTTCGTGGGAAGACCTTGGCCCCCGAAGACGCCAGCGACTCTTCCCCATCAGACATTGGTCCTACGCGCAGGTCCGCATCTTGGGACCTGTTGGCCGCAGTGTCCCGCTCGCCCTGCATCAACTCCATCATGTCTCGGTTGACCTGGAACACTTCCAGCGCCGATGCTCCCCACCTCTTTCGGACCATCGCGTCGTCCACTTCTCTGTTCACGAAAAGTTGAAACCACTGCCTGCCCATGACCGTTTCCATGATCGAGCCGAGGTCCGTCAGGTCGACGTCGATGTGCTGGTCCACCTCGTCCTCCGGGACGCCTGCCGTCACCGTGTCCGAGCGATTGGACTCGCCGCCTTCTTTGGCATCGTTCTCCGGTGGTTGGGCCTTCGTCACCTCATTTCCTTCCTCCATGTCCGGGTTGTCCTGCGGGACTTGCACCACCTCCTCCATTACTGCTACCGTCACCTGCGGGATGTCGCTGGCTTCCAACTCCCCCGCCAGGTCGGCAACTGCGATCTCATTGTGGTCCGCATCCTTGACGGTAACATGGACCTTGAAGCGTTTAAGCGGTCTTGTCCTGGTGGGTTGTTCCAGCTCTGCTTTCACCGCCTATTCGTCCCACGCTCTGGCTTCCGCAGCTTGGTGGGCCGTCCACAGCTTCTCGTCATGTTCAGCCTGCCTGCTCTTTTGCTCCTGAGTGTCAGCATCGTGCGCTGCCAGCTCGGCCCTCTCCTTGTCCGTGGCTTCTTCCCATCGACCACCTGGCGCGCGCCTGACCAGCACCTCGTGGGAGGAGGACGGCCGCTCGGCTTGGGTATCATCCACCTGGATCACTCCCCTCTGGTCAGGGAGCCTGAAGTCTCCGATTGCTGCACCTCTCACCGCGTCTATCTGCAGCATTTCCACCAACTCTCTCCATCTTTCTTCCGCCCACTCCCTGTCCTTGGTCGCAATGCAGGCAGGCTCCCCCTGATACGTCACCAACAGTGCCCAGAGCCTGTCGGCCCTGTCCCGCGAGACAGAGGTAAGGGACATGACCCATTCATTCCGCCATGTCTCCAGCATGCCATAGAGGAGGTGAATGACGTTTGACCTCTGTTCTGTCGTCATGCTCTCGAAGTGCGCCTGCAGCCTAGCCAGGTAGCTTGCGAAGACTGTCGTGGCCCGCACTTTTGCCGCGATCTGCATGCCCGAAACTGCATCACCTTCCACCGCCTCGGGCTGTGGGGCGTTCTCCATGCCATCAATCATCCACATCTACAATGTCCGACTCGTCGATGTCGATCTCCATGTCCTCGTGGTTTTCTCCATAGTCATCAGATGCCTCCTCCAAGTGCGTGTCCCTGTGGTAGCCCTGCTCGCCTGCCCCTTGGTCTCCCAGTCCCTCCGCTTCAGGGTTCGCATCCATGCCCTCATCGTACCCTGCTTCCAAACCCTCAGGCTCCAGGCGCTCTTCTTCGTCCTCGCCCTGCTCGGTTGCCTGGTGCGTCTTGGGGGGGCTGCCCTGGTCATGGAGTTCTTCCTCAAAGTCTCCGGCTTCCACTTCCACATCCACATACTCGCCCTGGTCCGGCTCGTCAATCTCAAAACCCTCGCCCATAGCTTCGATCTCTATTGCCTTTCCAACCATCCCTGACAGGTTGGTCGTTTGGCCTTCTCCCCTGACATCCCTTCTTTTGCATGTGGTGGTCGCAGCCGCCGCGTTGGTCTCTTTCCGGCGCAGGTAGGGGGCCATGCTTGGGATCGCGTCCACCTTGGTGACCTGCAGGAGAACCTCTTCATCCGCCAGCTCCTCTGCCCTCAGCATGGTGCGCATCAGGTCCGCATACAGGACCCCCAGGAATCTGATCAGGTCGCAGTATGCATTGACACGCTGCCCGTGGGTCATGCAGGCCAAATCACGAGCCAGCCCGAACACCGTAGAGTTGCTGAGCAGATGCCGATCTTGTCCTGTGAAGTTTTCTGATTCCCTGGTGATGCCAATAGCATCCGACCACATCCTCACCCCTGGGCCTAGTTGCTCCAGCGTGGGAACTATCGACACGTGCTTGGCGCGCGTCAGCGATCGTGTGGCCGGCGCGCTGGGCGGCGTTGCGGGAGGGGCTTTTGCCGGTCTTGCCCTCGCTTCCGGCCTTTGTCCTGAGCTCGTAGCTGGCTCCGATCGCCTGGTAGCCCATGGCGGTAGCCTCGCCCAGCTGCTGGTGGAAGTGCGCTCCCTGGACCTCCACTGGCGCCGAAAGGAGCGCCGAGCGTCCTCATCCCACTCCCACTCTTCGTCGTCACAACCATCTTGCCGATCTCGCCCTCGATCTTCGCGATCGACGCTGTCCCTCGTTTGCGGCTTCTGCCTACGGCGTCTCGGCGACGGCGACCTCTTCCTTTTGTCCCGGCCCCTTTGCATGAGCCGTACCTCGTCTGTTTCGAGGTGCTTTGCTTCCCCCTGGCCTTGTCCAGGTGACAGCCGATGGTAGAGGGGCACATCCTGGTTTCGGTCAGCTGGCTCACTTCCACTCCCTTTGGCGAGCATCACAAAGGAGAACTCGCCGTGGCCTCGGTCTTGGTCAACCTTTGTATGCAGGGGCAGGTTGGCATGAACTTCCTCGTCACGAATTTGAGAAGCCCTGCCGCGGTAAACTCCTTCGGAGAGAACCTGCAAGCCGCAGAGGCCAGCGAAAACGAACATGTAAGTGTGGTAGGCGAGGTGCATAGCTCAGCAAAACTGCTATTTACAGACCCTGCAAGCTACTCACCGATGCTGAAAGTGCAGACCAACACGAGCATCAGATCACATGCTGCAGAGAACTGTCATCAAGTCATGAACACAGCGCGGTTTGCCTGCACGATGCCCAGGGGATTGCTTCTTGTCGCAACCATGCCCTGGAGAACCCTGCCCATTGTTGCCTGTTCATTGCCGCCACTCTCCACTCCTCTGACCCTGTGACCCTTGCGACCCGCCTTTCTCCGTTCATTAAAAATGGAAAATGACGTCCGTGCCTCCTCCCCGATGATGTCGCCTGCTCCCCGCTCCACCACGGAAGGCCACGAAAGTGCGACACGCTCGCCGCCGCCGATGGACACTGATGCGACAACCCTCGAACCCTATGCCCTGTGAAGGACCAATAGGCCAAGACTGCTCGATCCCCCCATCTGTCTTCCTCCAGTCGATGTATCATGGCCCTAGCGATGCGAAGCATCCTTGCCTCTCCGTCGACCCAAGTTTCGCCTCCAAGCCGCTTCAGCCCCATCATCTTGCGCACACAGCAGTACTGGAAGTGATTGAGTGTAGACTGGAGTGCCGAGGTCGGGAATAGAATGCCAACAGCCCACATGAAGGTACCCTGCACAACTTTGTTGAGGACTTGAATACGCTGTTTGAGGGGTGCCCTGGAGGTCAAGATGTGTAGAATTCCACCAAACTTTCCTCTAGCCTTGTCAAGCAGGGCGTACAGAATCTTCATCTCTGTGTTTTCCCTAGCAACCGGGAGGTTGAGGACAGTGAAGGTTTCCTCCTCGGACATGGGCTTAATGATGTCCTCCCCCAGCTTGATTTCGACGTTTCTAGCCCCCCTCAGGCACAACAACTTGGACTTCGTCGGTTGGACGTGCAGACCAAAGGCAGCAAGCTTAGGCAGGAGCTCATTCACAAAATCCTGTAGGGATACAATTGTTCGCTTCCAGGTAATAACATCATCCATAAAGGCGCAGCCATCATTACCCAATCCTGGGATCACTTCCCCCTCACCCTCCCGCTCAATCGAGGAAAGAATTTCATCGATAAGGCGACTGAAGATGACCGGACTTTCTGTAGACCCCTGCTTGACGCCGGAGTTTGCACGCAAGGGCACGTCGTCCCACGGGAGAGCCAAGATCACCTCCGTGCTAGCAAGCAGTCTGATCAAGCACTTGGTTTCGAAGGGAAAATCAGCAGCAGCCCATTCGACAATCCTATTGGCAAGCTTCTCACGGCCGACGCTGTCAAAGGCACGACGCATGTCGAGTTTGAGCATGTAGCAGTCCGCCTGCCATTCCCTGGATAGGTGAGCAACGTGGGTGGTGAGCCATGCCATTTCGGCCGGTTGCCGGTGCTTGCAAGCGAATTGTTTGGCACCCTTGGGTTGTAGGGCAAGCTCCATTCTTGCTAGCAGTAGCCGGCTAAAGGTCTTCGCCACATGGGAGGCCAGCGCAATCGGCCTCAAGTGCTTTGCTTCACCCGGGGCGCACAGCTTCGGGATAAGGGTAGCGATGGAAACATCCCATTCAAGGGGGGTATCACCAGTGAACAGAATATCGTTAAAGAAGCCTGTCAGGCTTCCAAGCGACACCGGGGAGTCCACCATATTTTTCAGGAGCTCAACCGGGATCAAATCAGGGCCCACCGCTCTGCCATTTTTCCCCTTGAGGACAGCCTGCCGAACGTCAGCCTCTGAAAAGGGGACAAACTCCCGACCTTCCGTGAGGTGTGCCGTGGTAGCCCTAAGTGTAGCGGCAATGTCCTTGACCTGCTTGTCCTGGAAGACCCCTGCGAAGTGCTCGACAACATTTGCAACCGGATCCCTTTGTTCGCTTTTGGCCATAAACTCGTCCCCCCAGGCGCCCCTCTTCTTGGTGAGGTTTCTGTAAACCTTCCAGTCCGTGGCCGCCTGCTGTAACCTTTCCTCTTTCCAAGCTGTCTTTTCCCGCCTGAGGTTGCTCAAGTACTGCTTCCAGTCCTCTGCCTGCCTGGAATGCTTAGCCATGTCTCTAAGGACTTTAACCGCTGCACTAGCCTTGAACTTCCGCCCCAGGGAGGCCGGTTTGGTGAACCCCCTGGCCAGGTCTGAGAGGGACTGCTGGTCAACTCTGGGGAGGTCTGGCACGACATCCTTCACCACCCTGGGGCCCCCAAATGCGACCCTGGCAACCCGCTCACCCGTCAGCCACCCCTTGACCACCACCCTGTCATGATCGGTCCCCGCTTCATGCCTGCTCTCTTCTTCAATGCACAGTGTTCTGCTGTGGGTGTTGGAAACAAAAGCTCCGTCAATTTGAGTGCTGGCAACATTGCCCTTTCTTGAGTGGAAGGTGGCCGCGCGCATCTGCTCGGAGAGCGGTGCAGCCTGCTCAAACCCTGCCTCCGCCGCAATCTGCCTCAAGTCACCCCATTTCGCGGAGATTTCCCCAGGCACCACCCCTCCCTCGCCCTCACTCCACCGGAAATGCGTATTAAAGTCTCCCAGAGCAAAAGCCTGCTCCCCGCTCTGCCTCTCCACCCCAAAGAACTCCGCTGCAAATCGGTTGATCTCTTCACGAGGTTCGCTGTTGGGAAGGTGCGCTGAGCCAACCCAAATGTGCTTCTGACTGGGTTTGTGAAGGAGTCTTAGCCACACCCCTTTGTTTGTAGAGATCTTGCGCTTCAGGTGGAAGAGCTCATGCTTATAGAAAATACCGACCGCCCGATACATGAGAACGTGTTGAAACAGCACTGCATTGAGAACATCACCCTTGAGGATCTGCCATGTGTGCTTCTGTCTGGGGAACTCCTGGACCGCCAACACATCACAACACGGGACATGCGACAGAAGAGGCTTGATCTTTTTCTCACAAGTCCCTGCCAGATTCCACGCGCCGATGCTGACTTCGCGCCCGGCAGCCAAACGACCCCCATGCACATCGGGAATCTCCAACTCAAAATCCTCTTCCCTAAAGGGAACTGCCTCTGCAGGGTCCACATCTGACGGCGCATACACAACGTCAGGGATAAAGTACTTGGGCCCAGTAATGTTTGCCGCTCTTTGACGTGGTACTGTACAAGATTTTGGAGGGGAAAAGCTCTTTGGTTCCCCCTGGTTGGTTGCAAGCTTCCATCTCGGGCCGCCTGCTGACCTGAGCAACCCTTGAGTCTCGTGCCCCGGCACTCTGGTCATTGGAAAACAGAACTTGCCGCACAGGATGTCCAGAATTGCGAACTTGTCCCGCAAGATCCCGGCCACCATGCTCGGAGGGAGGGGCCCCTTTAAGAGGCCTGCCCTTTCTACTGAATTCAAGCCAAGTTGCAGAAGACGTGTCAGCTCCCCCACCCCGACGGTCTCAGTTGTCGAAGCACTTCTTCCACGCCTCTTGCACCCTGTGAACTGCACATGGGACTGCGTTGGCAACCGCTCGGGCGTCCAGCCAGCTGTTGGCCAGTCTACCCTCCAGAACTTGATCATGTTTGGGTGTCGGTCTGGTAGCGCTTGCCAGCAGCACACTGCCCAGCCACA